ACCAATCCCACTGCCCCACCAAGTCAACCCAACCCAACTAACCCAATCAACCAAACTAACCAACCTAACCCAACCAAGTCAACCCAACCCAACCACACAAGCCAACCAAATCAACCCAACCCAACTAACCAAACCAACTAACCAAACAAACCCAACCCAACCAATCACACCACTCCACCAGCCCAACCACATCAACCCAACCCAACCAACCAAACTAACCCAACCAAGTCAACCCGAACCAACTAACCCAACCAACCAATCAACCTAATCCAACCAAGTCAACCTAACCCAACTAACCAAACCAACTAAAGCAACCAACCTAACCCAACCAAGTCAACCCAACCAAATCAACCCAACCCAACTAACCAACCCAACCCAACCAATCCCACTGCCCCATCAGCCTAACCAAGTCAACCCAACCAATTCAACCAAACCAACCAACCAATTCAACCAAACCAAGCCAATCCAACTAACCAAACCAATCAACCTAACCCAACCAAATTAACCCAGCCCAACCAACCAACCCAACCAACCAACCCAACCAAACCAAGCCAACCAACCCAACCCAATCAACCAAACCAAATCAACCAACCAAAACAACCCAACCCAACCAAGCCAACAAATCAACCCAACTCAATTAACCGAACCAACCAATCTAACCCAACAAATCAATCCAACTAAATTAACCAAACCAACCAAACCAAGCCAACCACCCTAACCCAACCAAATCAACCCAACCCAACCAACCAAGCCAACCAACCAATCAATCCAACCAAATTAACCAAACCAACCAAACCAACCAGATCAATGCAACCAATGCAACCGACCCAACTAAACCAACCCTACCAAATCAACCAAACCAACCAAACTAAATCAACCAACCCAACCCAACCCACCCAACCCACTCAACCAAACCAATTAACCAAACCAACCAACACAACCCACTCAACCAACCAACCCAAACCAATCAACCAACCAACCCAATCCAACCAACTAAATCCAACTAACCAAACCAAACCAACCAACCTACCAACCAAATCAGGCCATTCCATGGCGGCTTAGCCACAGGCCAGGGGAGATTCACGGCTGTTCTCATTCTATAGATGAGAAGGGGATCAGAGACAGACGGGGCCCTGCCCCAGGCCACACAGCCAGCTGTGGCAGAGCCAGCGTGGAGCCAGCCTGCAGCTAGTCAGCAGAGGCTCTGCGCCCGGTCCCAGGTGGGAGCAGATACCGGCTGTTTGTACCCACACCTCCTGGAAGGAGAAGCCAGGCCGTCCCTCTGCAGTCCCCGCGGGGAAGGCCCTCACCCTCTGTCACGTGGGTCGCATGGACACTGGGGAGGGAAGTCAAGGAGCTGTGTGACCCCGAGCAGCCTGACTAACCTCTCTGAGCCTGAGTTCTCTCAGGTTATGTTTTTATCCTTTTTGGTTCCACGGCAGTGGGACCGTCCCCATGGCCTGGAGACTGAAGTGGTGATCCCAGAGGTTACCCGCTACGGGACCCGGAGAGTCCCCCAGCCTCAGTTTCCCATCCGTAACGCAGAGTGTGTCCTGGGAGTCCCATGAGGACTAGAGGTGGCCACGGGACACTGTGGGGTGCCGCCAGGCCTTGGGCCAGGGCAGGGTCTGTCCTGCTGGGTGTGGGCTCGCCCAGGCCCCCCTCCTCCCTCCTGCCCAGACAGGTCCCCGGGCCCGCCAGAGTGGCCTCTTTTGGACAAAGGGTCTTTGGAGGATCTCGAGAGGAGACTGGCCTGAGCCCAGACCCACGGCAAATCCTCTCGTAAGGGAAGGGAAGGGGGAGACGGGGACACAGGTGACGGCCAGGAGCGCTGGCACAGAATCTGTGGGACCTCCTGACGACGGTCCACCACTCCCAGACCCCGGGGACTCCTGACGTGGCGCTGGGCACAGTGTGGCTCAGGGGATTCAGATAGGAAAACTGTCCCCCTCAGTGTGGGCGCGGTTTCTGACCTGCGCCTGGTTGAATGACCGCCGCAGAGCTGCTCATACGGCGGAGGCCACCTCTAGATTTTTTTTTTTTTAATAAAAGCCATCTTTCTTCCTTTTCTTTTTCTGGGGGGTGGGCAGCGCTGGGGATTGAACCTTGTGTGCGCAAGGCAGGCACTGTACCAACTGAACTGTTCCCAGCCCCCAACTGTCCAGATTTTTAAGGAAAGATCTTCCTGCCCCCAAGCAGACCTAGTTAAGTCACAACTTGAAAAGGAGCCCATCCTTCGGTCACCATCTAAAGAGGTTGTATAAAAAGAGTCACACAAGCCATGTGCGGTGGCATGTGCCTGTAATTCCAGCAACACTGGAGGCTGAGGCAGGAGGATCGCAAACGTGAGGCCAGCCTCAGCCACTTAGTGAGACCCTGTCTCTAAATTAAAAAGGGCTGGGGTGTGACTCGGGGGTAGAGCGCCCTGGGTGAAGAGCCCACACCAAAAACAGAGCAAAGCACTCACAGGACAGGGAGGCCGGGACCACGGGGACCCTCGGGGTGCCTCCTTGCCAGGTGACATTATTGAGGGATGGCGAGGGCCCTGGCCTAGTTGGCTTTGTCCTTCTTCCTCTCGGTTCCCGCTGGCTGTGGGTCAGGGCGTGTGACCAGGCGCAGGCGCAGAGCCTCCTGCACCTCGGGGGGCTTCGCTCCAGCGTCTCCGCGGAGGAGTCCAAGGAGGCAGGAGGCAGCCTCGGTGCCCTGTGCCCCAGGAGGCCGTTGCATAACTGCCCGCGCCGTCTGTCCCTCCCGCTGGCCCGGCTCGCACTGCTGGGCTGCGGAGCTCCTGCCCGCGCGCGCTCAGACCCCAGACCCAGGGCTGGCCCCCATTATCCGGGGAGCGCGGTAGCAGGATCCCCTTCAGCTCGCTCCACGCGCACCTTGCTGACCCCCAATGGCCCCAGAGGACCCCTGATGAGGACCGGTGGCCAGGGTGATGGCGAGCGCAGGAAGGCTGCCGGGGGCGGTCCTCGGACCCCGAGGCCACGGCAGGGCTGGCCCAAGGAAACGGGGCGATGGGCGACTGGGGTGCACGGAGCGGGGTGCGGGGAGGCCGCCAAGGGCATGGGCGCAGGGGCTGCTTCCGGGCTCAGGGCAGGACACGCCGGGGCTGGGCGTCCTCTGGGCCTGGGTTGCCATGGCGACCAGTGCAGGTGGGCAGGACCGGAGGCCCCTCCCTGTGCCAGGACAGCGCGGAGCTGTCGGGGAGGCGGGCTGCACCCTGGGGTCACGGGAATCAGCCAAGCTCCTCACTTTGGCCGCCCTGGGGGGCCCCTGCGGGGACACCATGAAAGAGCAGGTGCTGGGCGAGAGATGAGGGGAGGAGGGCGGGGAGGGGGCAGACCAAGCCCTCAGGGAGCGGGGCCTCAGGGATGAGGCAGGGAACAGAGACCAGAAACTGCTTATTATTTTATGTCTGCAAATTAATTAGATGAACGCCTCGTCTGTGATTTCCCCCTTAATAACGCTTGAATCAGCCAGATAGGGTATGGTGGCCCGGGCTGCAGCCCCAGCTACTCAGGAGGCTGAGGCAGGAGGATGGCTTGAGTTCAGAGGGCGGGGCCAACCTGGGCAACCCCGAGAGACCTCAGGTAAAAAAAAAAAAGAAAAAGAAAAAGAAAAAGAAAGGTTGGGCACAGTGGTTTGCACCCATGATGCGGGAGGCTGAGGAGGCTGAGGCAGGAGGGTCTCGAGTTCAAGGCCAGCCTCAGCAAAAGTGAGGCCCTAAGCAACTCAGTGAGACCCTGTCCCTCAATAAAACACAAAATAGGGCTGGGATGTGGCTCAGTGGTGGAGGGCCCCTGAGCTCAATCCCTAGAACCAAAAAAAAAAAAAAA